CTCTTTATCTTATCATAAGGAGCATCAGGAACACCCTCGTATGCCTTCAAACGGGCAAGTGCGGCTGCAAACCCATGCTTGTTCTTGTGAGGAATTGGTCTTGTGAGGAATCATTCTGCAAACCCATGCTTGGTCTTGTGAGAAATCATTCTGCAAACCCATTTTCTTTCAGAAAGACAATTTCTTAGAATTTGATGAGACAGAGCAAAGGGCAAGAAGAAGTTGGAACCCTAATTGAAAACTGAGAGTTAAAAAACGCGTGAAAAAATCATATTTAAACAAATTATCGTAAATATCCACGTCGGTTCTAATATACATAGCGACGTCATATTTTAAAAATCAACGTCAGTTTAGATAAACAAGCGCCGTCATAACTACATCGGAAATCCAAAAGTCATTTGACGCGTATTAAAAAGAGAACGGCGTCGTTTTTAAAACCCCAAAGTAACCACGTCAGTTTATTAAAATACATAATCGTTGAATTTCGAAGTACAACGTCCGTTTAGATAAAAAAAACCGCCGTCATAACCACATCGGAATTCCAAAAGTCGTTCGGCAGTTATGATAACCACGTCAGTTCAGAATTATTTACTGTCGTTATAACTAAATAATACGGCGGTTTTGTAATAAAAACGTCGTTGTATTGAACTCTTGGAAAATATATAAACTTTTCGTCACCTGACCTAATGTTCTACGGTTTTTTCTCACCGATAAAATATCGCAATTTCCCTCTCATTTCCCAAAAGCAACATCATCGTCTGAATCTTCGTCTTCATCTCCAAATCACCATCTTCGTCTTCGTCTTCGTCGAAAGGAAACTTTCTTTGCACGCCAAAGGTTTTTTTCTCACTCTCTTCCCTTTTTTTACATTTCATTTGAATGCCGTCGATGTCTGGAAACAAGATTCTGTCAAATTGAGGAAATCTTTCACTGGTTTTGATTAAATTCATAAGTCGATACTCTCACGACGCCAAAAGACGACAGGTCTGTCTTGTTTTCGACGAGAGAATGGACACACCACGACGGCCGTTAAATTCTACTGAATGCAAATTGCACGACGGTGGTTAAAAACCGTCATGGTGTGACAATTAATACGTCGGAAACAAGATAAACCCGTCGTCTTGTGGGAGAAGAACAATCGTTATGTGTTTGTCTTTGTAAATTTTAAACCACGTCGGTTATTATGAGTAACCGACGTAGTGTATACATATTTACGTCATGAAAGATATAAAACTGTCGTCGTAATGTTCATATATGGTCTAAGAGACTGTTTAATAGGACGTTCGTCGTTTCTTTATTATTACGTCGTTCGTTTTAAATAACCGATGTTGTTTTTCTTGCAGATTAATTAAAAATGGTTTCGAAATCTCAAAACAAGGAAGCTCAAGCGTCATAGGCCAAATCAGTTTGAAAGGCACAAGGGGATGAAGCCAAATCAGTTTCAAAGGCTCAAGTGGAAGAAGAAAAATCAACTCAAAGCAAACCCTCGAAGAGGATGAGATTTTCCTCAACCTCCGAGAAAGACTCGAGCACAGCCACATTTATTGAGGAGCCAAAATCTGGCCGCGGTATCAGCACAATGAGCCATGTTGTGAAGAGGAAAATTGAGAAGGTTAAGCCTGTGTTTGAGTTCAACAAAAAGGCAAACCACATGGCGAGGCTGCTGTTGAGATGCAGTCTTACATTGGTGTTTTGGCACGCACCAGAGTCCCTCTTGTGGACAAGAAATGGACTCAAATACCCAAGGACGTGAGGGAGCAGATTTGGGAAGCTGTTCAAACGTCCTATGTTATTGGGGATAGGTACAAGAACATGGTCTTGTCGTCTGCCGCCAAAAAATGGAAGGATTTCAAGTATAATGTAACTAGGTAGTTTATCCTTCCATTCGCACATGACAGGGAGAGGTTAAGAGAAACCCCTGCGCTTTATAAGTTCATAGAGAAATCGAAATGGGATGCCTTTGTAGCTTCAAGGTTAACCCCAGATTTTGAGGCTAAGCATGCTGAGCAGAAAGAGAGGAGGGAGAAATTGGAGTACAACCATAGGTTGTCTAGAAAAGGGTATGTTGGTTTGGAGGACCAATTGGTAGAAACCATGCCCGATATTGAAGAAATCGATCGAGCTGTTCTATGGAAGAAAGCAAGAGAGGATAAAACAGGAAACATCCCTGATCCAAAGGTTGCAGAGAAGGCAAAAATAATCATAAGTCTCACTAACTCTGTTCTAAATTTGAAAAACAGAGTGTTTTATTTTTTATAGACGTCGTACGTTTAAATAAGCGACGTTATAAAATAAATACCACGACGGGCTTAATTTACCGACGTTTAAAAATGAATAGGACGTCGGTTTTTGAATAAAGTAGACGTCTAGATAGAATTAATACGACGGATTAAATTCCTCTATGAACTGCATTTTTGTTTTAAGTTTACTCACGCACACACTCTCCCTCT